TTAGACACAGATCTTAACGGAATTTTGTTCGAGAATGTAAGAGTGTTTAGATCTGTCGTCCTGAATGCACTGCGCATGCCATTTGCCTTATGTTGCGCGATATATGCAGACTGTTTAGGGGGTAGCCTCGAAAAAGCCAGGCGCCTCGTGTTTTTGTTGATCTGGTCTGCCGAAACTGAGTCGCGGGTTGATCCCTCGAAGCTCCAAACCGATTTATGCATGAATGCTTCCCTCATATCTAAAGGAAGGAAAATACTAGTTAGTTCTTTTTCGACTGTGCCTTTGGATGACGTCTCGAGGGTTTTTGCCAACTCCTTTTGATTGATTGATATGTGGACTAACAGCCGCCACTCGATCGGGCGCCAGCCTCCCGTATCTCCCTCGCTAACGCGTCCCTTCCCCTACAACGAGGAAAGGGCACGTGTATGCGAGTGGGACGTACTAGAAGCCATCGCACGGATCGGCGGACAATATTACTTCCCTCCCAAAAATCGTTGTTCTGGATTCGTGGACGCGGGTTTTGTCATTATCGATACGCATTTCCCGCCTTATTCATTGTTGTTGCCATTTAACGAGTTGATCGTCATTTCGTGGACGGCAGTGGCGCCCCATTGGCCTCGAACCCTGTGCACTGAGTGCCAGCGTTTCGATCGCTACGAGCCGAAAAGCTTCCACTACCAGATACGGAGTGAAGACGAGCACAAGGAAAGAGCCACGCGGCTGAGACCATCCACGTCGGACTCGGAACTGACCAACGAGCGACGTAGGGACTTGATACAAAAACGGGACACGCGGAGTGTATCGAAGCCCTTCCGCTCAAAACGAAGATCCGTAGCGCGGTGGGAAGTTCGACAATACTTTTTGGATTGAATTTGGATTTTTCTCTTTTCGCACCTTGCCCGCGCACGCATTCCGCGACGCGCAAAAGCAACTGACTTACCTCATCGGGCCAACACGGGGGATTTTAGTTCTGTATGTGTCCCCACACTCAATTTTCAAAAAATCCTTGGCACACCCCATCTTGCTGTTTTTTTGGGCCTTCTTTCCACATTCTTAGCACTCCGAACGGAAGACAGCACAGGGTGTGAGGTTGGTATCGAAGCCGACACGTGTCAGTTCTGATGAGAGTAAGTCGAGCTGGCGAGAGGTAGAAGAAGTCCTCAACCTGCTCGTCGAGATCATCCCGTGACCAGATCAAGATCTGGTGCGGCTAGACCAGCTATGCCAATGGCTAACGGTAACGTAGCGCCCCCTAGGGTGATTGTTAGTATTCCCACCCTTTTTCCTTTCTTTCCTAATCACACCCAACCCGAAGCTTGGTTGGAAGCCATCGAAGCTCAAGGATATGGCGCAAGAGACCTCCCCGGCGTTCTCACCTTGCAGCTTTGCAACATAGCGCATGATTGGTTTAGGAAACACACGTGGGTAGATTGGAACACCTTTAAGCAAGCCTTCTTGGCCAGATTTGATACGGTCAGCGAAGATGTCGCCTGGTATGTGCTCAAGACTCGACCGCAAGGACCAGGGGAATTCCTGCTTGACTTCGTGGATCGATTCCAAACTACGTTAGACAAATCAGGGCGAGATGAAAAGTCCGCCCGAGATTTGTTCATCGATCATCTACGAAGTCCGACGTTAAAAGGTAAGCTGCAGAAAAAACCCTCCACAAAACGCACCAGCTATCCGCTATCATCACTAAAACACTTGAGTTAGACCTGGCGGATACAAAGAAATATATCAGCCAGGGAGACAAAGACATTACGGACACGATTCAGGATGTAGCGGCTAAAAGACTGTCGTGGTTACGAGCAGTAGAACGATTCTATCCCCGGCCTGATCATGACTTCCCTGAAGGGGCTGACTCTGATATCCCGTCAGTTCCTTCTCCCCCTCCTCTGATTCTCTCAATGAACCAACAGGAAGCAACTGTTAAACCTATAAGCTCCCAAGACTCCTCCCCTATGGCCATAACAAACATGCACTTGGCACAAATGATCCATACAACTACCACCAAACAGTCTGAATGGATGAGCAATCTGGTCCAAATGCGGGCGGCTCACATGGATCGAATGAAACAGATAATGAGCAGACTAATTAATTCCAACCCTGCACGACCTGTCCCTGCACCGTTCCCGCTCTTGCCTGCACCTGGGCACGCACAGCAGTTCTCTCACGCAGCCAACCTGGCAGGGAAAATCGAGTCTTACAATTGCAAACAGCCCGGGCATTTTGCTCGGGACTGTCCGCAGCCGAAACGAAATCAACCCCCACCTGCTGCAGCCCCCGTAGCCCTGAATCAAGAACGAGTGGCCGCGCTAATGGATACGGCCCGGAACGAGGAGATCATTGCATACGCCCCCGAACGACCTTCCCCCTCAATGGCGGTTGCATCGACCTCTGGAACTTCTTCTTCCGAAGTTGATGACGTGGTTGATCCGGTCAAATACCTTCATCTCGCCGGCATGATCGGAGCAATCCGACCAGCCCACGACGATCATGAATGGGTCGAACGCGAATCTAACCGCGGACCACAGTTTCGGACGGGAGAAATTGATGTACTACGGACGCTTAAGCAACTGGACATTCGCGTTCCGGTCCCAGTGGGGCATTTGCTCACCATATCCGAAGCAGCAAATGACAAGCTGTTGCAGCAGTGTCAGAAGAATCAAAAGTGCTTTACGTACCAGCGCATACAACGAATGTTGAAAAAGAAGAAGGAAGACGGAGCGGAGGATGTCGCACTGCCTGAACCCGAAGTCGCTGAACCCGAGGCAGCGCGAGTAGCCAAAATTTTTTTAGTAGAGAAAGATCATTTTGTGCGAGCTCGACCAGTATTGTGGAAAAGCGCGAAATGTGATTGTGAAGTATGGAGCAAACCTTTTAACGCTCTTATCGATACCGGCTCGTCTGCGGTCGCTATTTCATTAGACACAGTAAAGAGAACGGGATGACTCAATTAGATTCTCCCTCAATCTGGCAAAGACCATTACGTCTCTGCCGATGAGGAAGCAATAAATATTGTAGGAGTCATCGAGAATGTGGCTGTGAAAGTTGGACGAGTGCACGTCCTCGTTAACGCTTTAGTCATAGATGTGCACTCATATTCGATATTGTTAGGACTGCCTTGGGCAATTGCGGTAGGTGCCCGCATGCATTTCGATTCCAAACAGTTGGTGCTCACACAAATAGGAGGAAAGCCTCAGCCAATCCCGTTGTGAATTTCAACCCGAACAGTAAAAAGGAATCCTAATCCTGCTCGGATAGGGATGATTCAAAGTTCCGATCACGATGAATTTTCATCCCCGGATAATAGTAGCGGATTTGAAGAACAGGAGTGCGAAGAAGAGATGCCTAGTGAGAGTGAATGGAAACACCTGGTCGAGCATTTTGAGCACGAAGCCTCCGAGGAATTTTGGATGGTTCCCAGAGCCGCCCGAACCTTCCACTTGAGTCTGGAAGACAACGCGCTCGCACCTCCGGAAACTCAGATCAGTCCTTCGACCTTTCTCGAAGAATCCATCTTACAAATATCTGACCTGGCAGACGATTGGGAACCCCCTCGCACTTTGTACGAGGGAACACTTTCTCTTCGAGCACGCTATCAGCAGGCGAAACCATACCTGGATGTGTCTGTTTCCCTCCAAGGTCACTGCTTACGACAGGAGCGACTGTCGCTCTGATTAAACAAGAAGTCGAAGCTCCTGTCGACGATGTGCCAATTCTGATGCAGTAAATGGCGGATTTAACAGGAGTAACCGTGGAAGAAACCACGACTGATTCGGAGACTGACACAGAAGTTAAAGAGACCGAGATGATTAGCCCCGCTGAATCCCAGATGATTGCAACTGTCTTTTCTGTCCGCACTAGCAGTTTTATTTTCCCTAGTGTCCATGACCAACGGAATCGGCCTGTTGATTGGACTGACATACCCCTGGAGATACCTGACCAACCAACAGTCACCCTACCGAATCACGTCCCCCTGAAATTTCAAAAATCGTTGATTGATGTCTTAAATGAGTACATGGAGGTATTCAGTGTGCACGATAACGATATCGGACTGTCCAACGTGATTGAGCATGCTATCCTTACGGGGGATCATCCACCTATTAGCTGTGTTCCTTACCGATACTCGCCAGCCCAACGGGCGGCCGCATTTCAGCGAATCAAGGAATTCGAAGCTAATGGATGGATCGAACCCGCCATAGGACCGTGGTCGTTCCCGGTGGTAATAGTGCCCAAGAAGGCCGGAGGGATTCGCATATGCATCGATTATCGGAAACTAAACGATATCACGATCACAGATTTGTACCCCCTTCCCCGGATTGATGAGTTGTTGGATGCGATTGGGAGTGCTCGATTTTTTAGCAAGTTTGATGTTCGATATGGGTTTCATCATCTTCTTCTTCGAGAGGAAGATCGTCTGAAAACGGCATTTGTGTTGTTCGAAGGTACTTGGCAATCGGTTCGATGTCCAATGGGCATATGCAATGCTTCCGCAACCTTTTAGCGAGCCATGAACATGGCGTTTCAGAACATTGTGCGGAAGACACGCCTAGCGCAGAGTATCATCAATTATTGCGTGATTGTGTACATGGACGATATTCTGGTGTATTCGAGTTCCTACGAGGGGCACGTGCAGCACATCGAATGGGCGCTACATGCATTGAGTGATGCCGGTTTCAAGGTGGCACTAGAAAAATGTCAGTTCCTCTCACCACCATTTCCTTCTTGGGTTCTCGAAGCTCAAGACAACTCTTATTTCGGCTCCAGTCCTTATAAGACCGGACCCTGCAAAGCCTTTTGTCCTCATCACGGACTGACAGTCGGAGGCAATTTCAGCGATCTTGGCCCAGTTGGGACCAGGCGGACTCGAATGCGTGGTGGAATACGCGTCCAAATCGGTGCCTGCTTGCAAGCGCAATTACGCTGCCCCGACAGGAAAATGCTATGCGGCTCTGTGGGGGATCAGTCACTTCCGAGCCTATCTGTATGGGCGGAGGTTCATTATAGTGACCGATCATGAGCCACTATTAACCCTGAGGAAATCTAAGGATTACTCGGGCATGATTGGGAGATGGGCAATGGTGCTACAGAGCATGGACTTTGACATTCGCCATTGGAAGCACAAAAAGCACGGGAATGCTGACGGGTTGACACGACTGCATCGACCCGAGAAGGTCCTCAAGAGCGAGGAAGTGATTCCGTGGAACGAGTCGAAGGACGAGAACGGACCGTGGTACGGACAAGTGGAAATTATGTCAAAGGAGTGAGTGACACGGAGCTTCGCTCCGCTCTCCCTGCGGCCCTGCTCTCTCTCTCTCTCTCCCTTTCCCTCCTCCTCTCTCATCATGACTACCCCACCTGTCTCTGCGACCCCTTCTTCCCCTGCTGATTCCGACCCTTTCGCCTCCTCGGCCTTCTTCGCCACCCTTCTCGATAAATTCTACTATTTTTGCACATGTATTACACGAGTATATGGGGTGAATTGTCATCCTTTTGAGACCGGATTCGTTAAGTGGGTGAACTGTGCCACGTGTGTCAATCGTGCACACAGTGCATGCATTCGATACCGAACAAATAATAGGGAATGGAAATGCCCTCTGTGTAGAACGGACAAACTGCCTACTGGGGTTCGATTCGAGGCTGCCCGTACGGACGACCCTGAATATGACGAAAAATACCGACGAGCAGAAGTCTGGACGGATAAAATCCTATTAGCTAAGCTGGCTGGCTTACCATTGGATCATCTCACTAAGCACGACAGACGTCGGGCTACTGAGAGATCCCGGGATTACCGATGGATCAACGGTCACCTAGAAAAGCGTAAAAATGACGGATCGGGATTGTGGTTGACGGTTCCTCAATTATTCCAGAGATATGATTGGACCCGATCTGCTCATGAAGAGCAGGCCGCTCACTTCGCGATACATGTCACAGAGGCAACTATAGATCCAAATCGATGGTTCTGCTCTAATGTACGGGACGATGTCAGATACGTAGTCGCCAACTCTCTGGTCTGTGCCGCTGATCATGCCCCAATACGAAGACCAAACATGATAGTACCGATAGAAGTAGAGCGCCCTTCCCAGCGAGTCAGTATGGACACGACAGATATCGACGTGCCACCTGGCCCAAACCGTTGCGAATATTCCATCCTTTTAGTTTTAATAGACCATTTTTCCAAATACATTGAGGTGTACCCCTGCAAGACCCGTAAGGCCGCAGAGATAGCCACGTGCATCGATCGGTTTCTCTATACTCACCTAGATATGGAAGAAATTCTAACCGACAATGGGTCCGAATTCAAGGGCGAGGTAGAGGAATTACTCGCACGACGAGGCATTACACTTCGACGCACGGCACCCCACGTTTCCCTGTCGAACGGGTTGGCAGAAAATGCCAATCGCATGATTAAGACTGCCCTTCGTAGAAATTTAGCAGCGAGTGACACGCGTCCTTGGCCCGAGATCGTATACCAAATCGTTGGAATTCACCGGGCCACCCCTCATGAATCCACGGGGTTCACCCCCTTCCAGCTTTAGACCAATAGCCTCCCATGTGTCGATTACCAAGGCAACTCGGAAATTGCCGAAGCCGGGGGTAGAGACACGCGTGCCGCCCTTAAGACCAAGGCCAAAAGGTACGCCGATTTAATGGAAAGGGCCGTTCCGAAGCTAGCCCGAAAAAGACAGAAAAATGACTGATCTAGTCCACGAAAGGCGAGTCCATAGCTACGAGGCCCGAAATGGGAACGTCGGTCCCCAACATCAATATAAATTAGGGGACCTGGTACAGGTACGTAAATGTGCACGCGACCGGAAACTCGCTCCCAAATTCTCTGGTTGTTTCCGCGTTGTCGAGCTCGGACCCAACGGTGCTAACACGGTGCGCATCACGCCCGAGGCAAGCGCCAGCCATAACTCTTCCCCATCGTTCGCCATACCTCTTATATCCGTCCTCTCCCTCCCTCTGATCTCCCTCCATCTCCCTCATCTACCGAAGAAGAGGGCGACGACCATCTAGTTCCCGCCTCGTTCTCTCCATCCTGCTCCCCTTCTTCGTCTTCTTCCCCGTCCTCGCCATGAGTTTCATCACGGAGCAACCTCTTGGCAATCATCTGCTGCAGCCACGTGGTTACATCTCTGAGACCCGGCAAGTTCGTCATCCGCGGCTCAGTCTTGATCTGCAAAGATTGGCGTAGTTTTCTGCACCGAGGGAGTGTGTGCTGCTGCTGCGTTCCGACTCGCCGGGAGTCCGCAGGTTGTAGTATTGGCGGAGGTGGTGGCATTTCATCGACGGGCAGCTCCAGGGACGAGCAACGTCACCACGGTCGCTGCCTTCTGCGGCGACATCAGCACGGTCAGCCCACTTCGGCATACCGCGATCTTGACCTCTTTACGAGAGTGGACGTAGCAGTTGTCAGCTAAATGGCATCACGGTCTTGCGCGCCCAAGGAACAATCTAATCCCGACGTTCGGGACTGACTTCGACGGAATTTGCACCTCTCCGCGTCAACCAGCGGTCGTGCTGCCCACCCTCATCCCCTTCCAATGCCCCCAATGAACCGCGCCGCTCCTCTCGCTCCTCTCCCCACCTTCGGTCTCCCCTCTCTGAGCTCTCTCTTCCCCACCTTCTGGCAGTCCGATCTCCATCCTCGCCTTTCTTTCCTCCTCGAGCCTTTTGTCGTCCCGCTCCTTGATCCCGGGCATTGGTAGGTGTGGCGCGAGACCTTTGTCCATTTGTCTGTGTGCTTGGCCCGAGTGCAGGTGACGTGGATGCGAACCGACGAGCATCAGCCGTGTATTGTGTACCTGGAGTTGCTGATCATCCAGGCTTGGAGAACTGACGTGGAGGGCGATCTTCTCGGTTTCCTCTTCGGATCGGTACGGCCGGGCCATCGCCAGCCAATTACTCAAGAACTTGTTGTCCAGCTCGCACAACTGGCTGACGATCTCTCTCTCGACATCGTCTCGCAAAGCGGCGACAGTCCGGCTCCGCACGTCATCACGCGGACGTTAGCACCGTATCTTCAATGGACTGCATGCTTGGAAGAACCCGGGAGTGAAAGCACTCTTCCGTCGCGGCAGGAGTACCTGAAGCCGTACGGAATCATCGATCGTGTCTTCTTCCCGAAGGAAGATCCTGAGGAAGCGCTTGTCAATGAAGAAGAAGAAGAAGCCACCGAAGAAGAGGGCGACGCAGACGAAGAAACGTCGGAGGAAGGAAGTTATAGTGAGTACAGTGAAGGGGAGCAGAGTGAAGAAGAGGACGAGGTAGAAGAAGAAGACGAAGAGGGGGAAGCCGAATCGGAGTGGGAGGATATACCGGAAGAAGCAGCGCGCACAGGCACGGAGGCGGAAGATCCCGAGGTGGCACGTAAGTGAGAAGAGATCGCCGCCGGGAAAAGCCAGCTGGAATTCGCGAGCGGAGCGAATCTGCGCATCAACGACGATCCGACCAGGGATCCAGAGCCCCCAAAGCCCGAAGATGGCGAATCAGCAACCGCAGCTCCAAGCACATCGCGACGGAGACAAAGTCGATCCCCTTCCCCCTCCACCCCAGCCCGTCCCCCAGTTCGTCCACGTACCGATGCGGGGAATCGGCCTTCGTCCCCGGTCATTATCCTGTCGTCCCCTTGATTACCTCACCCTCTGCCAGATCTCTACCCCCGTCACCTTCCCTCGCAACCCCTTTCCTCCCAATACCTTCCGTCACCTTTACTCCACCCGTCTCGCTGTCACCGTCCATCCCCACCCTTCCCTTCAATGCGCAAACCCCACGTTCTGTTTGCACATCCTTTTGTTCAGTGCCGCATAGGAACAGAGTAATGCAGTAGAAGTCTTCTGCGTAATCACAGGAACCATCCCCGCGTGTCGCCACCACGAGTTGTTTCGTGCGGCACTCTTCCGCACTTTCTCCACCCTCTATCCTGATTACCTCGCCTCTCTCCCTCACATCGGCGACCGATTTTCCCGCTTTCATCGGATCATCCGCTACGAGGAGCTCCCGATCACAGAGGAAGGGATGGGCCGTTACTTACACCCACTTCCCCCCAACCCTCCCCGTCAACACCCCCCCATATATAATGTCTACTTTCCCATTCCCACACTGCGTTGATACCCGCCACACGTCCTCCGAGCAGTACGAATCAGCAGTTTCGAGAAGATCACGCCATTGACGATGACGTCAACTTATGCTCTGATTCGATGGACTGCGCTGGATTGGGGGTGCAGAGCACATGGAGATCTGATGGACCATGATGGATTGAGGGTTGCATATGACAGGACTGCAGGGAACGGGATCCGAAACAGCACGAGCCGGCATGCTTCACGGAGATCTTGCCACGGATGTTGTCGTCAGCTCGTCGTGTTGATCCAAGCTCCTACTTCTTCCTGCTTCTTCGTCTCCTCCCACTCCCCTCGTTCCTTGTACTTCTTCCTGCTTCTTCGTCTCCTCCTACTCCCTTTGTTCGAGCTTTCATGCAATCGGGAGATCGCATAATTTTGGAACCCCTGCGCGCAGCGTTGTCGAGCGGGGATCCCCGGGGGCAAAGCCGGTGTTAGGCTGCGGACCCCGGACCCCCGCCGCGGGGGTCATCCAACCCCGCCACCGCCGGACGACCCCCGCCGCCGCCCAGCCCCGGGTAC